GATTTATGCCAAGTGTTCTTGCACCCCAAAGTGTCTTTTGGGTACATGTGGCACTTTCTATAGCAGGAGAGCAGCTGATCCAAATGTACAGGGGTTTTTTTTGGTTTTTTTTGTTTGTTGCATTGATATTTTCTTCCCCAGGAAACCAGCACTGTGGAAACCTCCATATATTTTCTGTTGCATCAACTCTTGCCACAGCAAACTGCTCCGTGGAATTTCTGCTTCAAATATTTTGTAGCCAAAGTTGCTAAAAGTGTCTGTGGAGTATGTGATTTCTGACTGCAAGTTGGAAAATAGCCTTGTTAATGCTATAATCTGCTATAACACTAAAATTGCTTTAAATCATGGGGCTAGGCTGCTGGCCAAGGATTCTTTTGTTAGGTAGATTGCTGGTGAATAGCTCAAAATGGTCAGCTGATAGGAGCTAATGGCCAGGAGATGGTCTCCTGAATACATGGAGATCACTCTGCCTTCAGTATTTTGAATGGGAAAGGCCTTAGAGCATGGGTAAGCAAATGTTTGGTTTGGCCTAATAGGGTGAAGTCACTTACTAGAAGAACTAGTAGGAGAAAATTGAAAACATGTTCCATTGGCAAACTGAATAATATTTCTAGGCATTTGTCACCTTGCACATAGGCTACATCTTTCAAGCTACAAATTCCAAGTTTGCTATTTGCGGGAGTTGTCCTGTTGCTTTTGGATCAAATCTGTTTGCTAAGAAGCAACTCTGAAGTGTCCTGCACCCTGGTGGATTAGAGGATGCTTGATGTGTTTAGTATGTTTGCAATTGAAATAGACTTCTCACCGATGAATTTTGTTCAACTAAAAAAATGGGGGGGGGGGGAATAGGCCAAAACCCAAACCAATAAAATTAATTCGCACAGTGAAAGAATTTGCAGACATTCTGCCAAACTGTGATGTGTTTCCAAGGAAGCCAAGTTCAAGATCGGTGCCAAGTGGCATAGGGAGAAATCAGATCCCATTCTAATGAGCTGGCATGAGTTGGGAAGATCAATAACTGAAGGCAGTTATTGTGCGATGGCAAACTGTGAGCCAGTTGAAAAGTAGTTGGCAATCAAAGAATATCAGGGTCTCCCTAATCAACTGAGAGTCCATGCAGGAATGGAAAAGTAAAATATGGAACCAAAACAAAATATTAACCCTAGAAAATTAGGGTCTTTTTATAGATCATGGTCAGAAGCGGGGACAGGGACTCCCATTCTACGCACTATGTACTTGGAAGCTACTCTCACAGAGCTTAATAGCCATCCAGAATAAGTGAGCACAGAATTGCATTCTTAACCCACTAGATGCTGGATTTGCTGGAAATCACACGTTTGGGGCTGTTACTCACACGTTCCTGAGTGTCATTCAATTCCTCATCCTTTAATCAATCAATACTGATGGCTTTCAGCTGAGTGTGTCAATTGATATTTGTGGTGACCTAAGGAGAAATGAGAGGCGTATCCATGTTGTTTGATCTGTTATGGCCCATTCACAAATCCAGACTGCAACAATCATCAAGTTCTTGAACATATGTATGAGCTGGCTCACTGTTGAAGGTTTAAAAGGTTTTATCGCTGCTGCCATATACAGTGCTGCCATATACAATGCAATTGTCTACACAGCTTACATAAAGTTTTAGGTCTTGTAGAAGCAGGCCACATTAATTCACATGTCCTTTAGATTCTGCTTAACAACACAGAGACTGTTTAGTTCTTGTACCCCCATATTAGTGGAAGTTTGGGAATGCCTTTCCAGGTCACTTTCTTTTGGAGATCTGACATTGCTGGATACTTAGGCTGACTTTGTAAAAACGTGTTCATTTAACAAACGTGCAGAGTAAGAAGAAATGATAAGCATGCACTAACTGTCCCCGGCAATTTTACAACTGAAGCAGGGCAACTCGTCCCATCCAGCAAGTCCAGATGATACTACTTCCCTCTGGACCAATATACAGTGGATCTCTTTAATCATATACCTGGTGATACTTTAACTCACAACATTTTCCTTTCACATTTCATCTGGTGTCACACAACTTTATCTCTGTTCATTTGGGCGTGTGTATGTCTCACATTTCCTCCAAAGAGTTCAGAGTAGTGTGTATGAGACTCCAGGTGGTCTTCATTCTTGGTGCTGGTCTGGCCCAGAGCTGGTTAGCTTTAGAGCAGGGGTCGGCAAGGTTTACCTCGCCTGGGCCGGTTCACTCCAGCGGAGATCCCTCTGTGGGCTGGACTGCGCGCATGCATGAGCGCATGCGGCAACGATTTCCTGCGTCTGTGCAGACACTATTTTTGGCATCTGCGTCTGCACAGATGTGATATCCGGCACCATGGAAGTAAGTCCCCGAGCCACACTGCGCTGGTTTAGCACAGCGCGCAGGGACTCGCCAAGCAGGTGGCTCGGTTCGGGGGTGGCTCGGGGGCCGGTTAAATGACCCCTGTGGGCCGCTTGTGGTACATGGGCCTTAGGTTGCCTACCCCTGCTTTAGAGGCTGAACTATATCTGAAGCCTTCTGACTTGAGAGTGAAGCTTCCTTTTCCAGTGAGCAGTTAGTAAGCTGTATCAGGATGTCTGCCCCGCAGGCTCCAACAACAATCAGATTAATTAGCAAGTGCTTAGTTCATGTATACAACTATGCAAACTGTTATTGTTATGAAGGCACTACAATATACATAAGGCCATGTGAAATGACCCTTGGGAGGCAGACTTTCGGATAAACAAAGGCACTGGTGCAGAAGCCAATCTCTTCCCAAATCAGATGACAATGCAATGCCTATGGTGCAGAGATTTGCTTTCAAATGGAAGAAGAAAGATCACCCCCACTCTAGAAACTGATTTATTCTTTTGCAGCTAGCTTCCCGGTCATAAAATGCAAGCCATTTTTGGGCCAGCGAGCATGTGATTTTGGTGTCTCTCAGTATGGATGTTGGTATTTCTGTATTCATTTCCAGTCCCATTGCCCTCTATTCTGAATAATAAGATTTATTCTCCTTTATCCCACTGACTCTTTGGCTCCATGTCTGCAGGTACATTTCTGTAGATAAATCCACTACCAAGCCTAAATAAGGTTCATCTATGAAGGAGAGTTCCTTATGCTTCTGGTACTCAAATACAGCGGTCCTTAAACTTTGGTCACCTCCAATTAGATAATCTGCTCTTGTTTTAATTATGAGATTATGAGCCATTTTTCTGCAGACCTTATAAATTGGATTGCTTCATCCAGCCTGTTGAAGGGTAGGCTTCTGCACTTTGCAGTTTCAGAGGATTCCAGCTGACAAGCACATTTTGTTAGAAAACACACCACAACGATAGCTGCCTAATCTCTTAGAAACCCGGTTTAATGCTTCTTATTTAATTTCAAAATCAGCTAGTGGCAGAACATGGCCAAACACAACACACAACTGTAATCGACTGCATGTGCAACACAAATGATGACTTATTGTTATCTTTCAATAACATCTTTGTTACTCCTTTCAAAAGGAGGAAAAATGTGAAAAGTATGAAAGTGATATTAAGCAGATGTTAGACGGTAGTTGTCAATCTTGTCTAAGCATGCAGGTGCTAATGTGTTATAATTATCCCTTCTGGCAGTTGATATTTAGGATTTTGGATCCCACCTAGTCAATCACAGCTGTAATTGTTAAGCTTCTTACATAGCTAATATGCTGGGTAATAACTAGATCAAGATTTAATATTTGACGTTTACTATCAATTATCTTTTCTTCTGACATACATCTCCAGTACTCAGATTCCTGGAGATTAGGCACTTTTCCAGACACTCGGTATAATAAATAAAAAGAATTGTTGCTGTGTAAGACTTAAATCAAAGAAACACCGTGATCCACATTCTCCAGGTTTATGCAATATATTTACTTGTAGTAATTTGCCTCACATTTACCCCTCTCTTTTATCAAGTTGCTTACAGAAGAAACCCATAGTTCAGAGTTCCATAGCAATATTATGGCAGAGTATGAAACTGGTACTATTTCTACACAGTGTAACAGACCAAAACATCCATATACAGTAGAAAGTGTAGCTTGCTCCTACTCTATTTGCTACGGTCTGAAACTTGTGACCTGCTAGTCCAGAATTCCGCATGACTACTATTTCAAAGATGGTTAGGAAGTATCAGTTATGATCAAAATAAACCAATCTAAAATCATAAAGCACTTCCAGATCAGTACTTTTGAGTGGACATATCCTCAGATGTCATTTGAAATAAGCATGCTAGTTCACCAAATCTGAACGCATGGTCCTGCCTCCTGATGGGGTGAATGGTTATCTGGGCAACGCTCATGTGATTGATGATGGTTAGGTTTTGCATGGCAAATATTTTCCAGAGTCAATCCTCTGAGTTCCAAGAAACCACTAGGCTTGCCCAAGTAGTAAGATTCTTGTTGTTCTCCCGTAGGGTCCCAAACTGTGACTTGAGAAGAAGCCAGGATCTGAAACCACATTCTGATTCAGGCTTGTTCTAACAAACCACAATTCCCCGACTTTGGGCATCACAAGGAACCATGTGTAACTTAAAATTTTAAAAATGAATGCTTTTAATCTCTCCCCTATGCTGCAAAAAGAAAGAAAAGTTTAGGAGGAGTGCATACACCTAAGTCTTATGGGTGCATATTGAATGTTTCCTGTTATATCTGACATGTTCCTGGAGCTCCAAAGGTATCTTAACAATTCTCAGAAGCCCAACAAATTATTTAATAATATCATCTAGTTCAGCCTTCCCCAGTCTAGTGTCTTGGTACTCTTCAGATGTTTTGGACTACAACTTGCATCATCCCTGACTAACGGACCCGCTATTCCTTGTGCCAAGTTAAAATAGAAAACCACAGTTTTGCTCAATAAAATTGTTAGTGTTTGGAGCGTCATAAGCAACAGCATACATGTCTTGAATTTTTTTCCATATGCAGTAGCTTCTGAACAAATGTAGACAGGTAGTTTGTGTTAATTAGAAAAAAGGCAATTTAACCTAATCTTCTCCTTTTCAGACAAGCTGGCAACACAACAAATAATGGCGGAAAGCGCTCCACCATTGAAAACCACACTAGTAATCTTCGAAACAATATTGTTACAAGTTAAGTACTCCCTGTTGCCTCCAGCAGACAGGGTCTCCTTTCAAGAGGATCTTGCTCAACTTTGAATGGAAAACGTCTGAAATGTTGACAGCACAGAACATTAAGGTTTCAGAGCAAAACAAATGAAACCGGACCGTGTCATTTTGCAATAAAACACGAAGTTGTGTAATAGTGCCTTTTTAAAGCCACTTGCACATTTCAAGACTTCAAATAAAATGCTATTAACACAGACAGATAAACAGGCTAAGCCATTATTTGCCTGGGGTGATACCCTTGTGATTTACAACAGGCAAAGAAAATATAGTAGCATAGCTGTTCAAAATTGAATGATATCAGTACCAAAATAATCCTTTCATAGAGCTATAAGGGCCTTTGATAAGAAATTCAAAAAAATTGCATGTTTTTTCAAAGCAAATCCAGTCACATGCAAGTGCCTATTATACAATCCAATTACTTTTTAAAGTGCGCCTGTAAAGTTACTTTTAGTTTGACCATCAAACAGGAAGCCTTCACAGACGTTAACGCAGCAGTCGGTTCCTAACACTCCCTCACACTTTAGTACAGGCACCCCCAACCTGTGGCCCTCCAGATGTTTTGGCCTACAACTCCCATGATCCCTAGCTAACAGGACTAGTGGCCAGGGATGATGGGAATTGTAGTCCAAAACATCTGGAGGGCCGAAGGTTGGGGATGCCTGCTTTAGCATGACCAAAAATAGAACCCTGGAAGGTGAGATGTTGGTAGGAGATGGCTTGATTATATTGGCTTATTTTGAAGGTGTAAACCTCATATTTCAATCATATGATTTTCAACACTACTTACAAATAAGAGGTAATGCTACAACCCCCCCTTCCCTAAAAAAACCCAAAAAACCTTACACATAGTTAAGTTGTCAGGGGTGCCAACTTGAATAAAATATTGTGGGGGACCAGGTAAGCAATGCCCTGCATAATCAATCACATGATCACACATCATTTGACTGACAATGCCCATCATCATCTTTGGGGTTGGCTACCTAAAATATTTTATTGGAGGGGGGAACCACTGCCCCTAGGAGTTGGCTCCTATGGATCCTAGTACCACATCCAGGTTCCAAAGAACCACGGAACAGCAACTCAATCTCCCCCCCCCCCATGCTGTGCAGGAAACTGCTTTCGAACTGCATTCTTTCAGAATTAGTGCACAATCCACCCTCCCTTCTTGAACACTGCTAACACAGCTGCACACAGAGGGAATCTGCTATAGGACTCAAAGGAACCTTTAACCTGGGTGCATCACCATTACGTAAAAGGAATGGGAGGCTTCTCCAGGGACATTCACGCAGGCTGTTTGCACCAGTGAAAAGTTATCCATTGGGACCACGTTGCAATTTGGAACACTGCCTGTTTCCACAAGGCGGAGACCCCAGTATAGAAATGGTACTGCGTGTGTTTGGTTGGAGCCTTACAGTTCAACCTCCAGAGGGGAGAAAAATCATTTCTCTTTCTAGTAAAGCGTCCAGTATTCTATCTCCAACCCAATGGAAATTAAGTTAATTGCAACAAACTCATCCCATTGATTGTTAGACTAGCTTGTTCTGGAGTGTGGTTTATGTTTACAGTGGTACCTCGGGTTACAGATGCTTCAGGTTACAGACGCTTCAGGTTACAGACTCCGCTAACCCAGAAATAGTGCTTCAGGTTAAGAACTTTGCTTCAGGATGAGAACAGAAATCGCGCGGCGGCAGTGGGAGGCCCCATTAGCTAAAGTGGTACTTCAGGTTAAGAACAGACCTCCGGAACGAATTAAGTTCTTAACCCAAGGCAGCACTGTACCTTTCTCATACACACCTTGTGGAGTGCAAGTCAGCCTCCTTTGTGATTTGTTTGTTTGTTTGTTTATATATTTATTAATTTAAAAGGGGTTGTCTGTTGTTGTTTTTTAACCTGCCTTTCAGGGTATGTTGTCCCTATAAGGAAGCTGAAAACAATTTTAATATAGTAATAACATTAATAAAATACACAATCAACTCCCCTAATTTATATGCAGCAGCAAATAATAATAATAATGTAGAAGCATACCACATGAGGAATAGACGGGTTTCTGGCTGAGTCACTCATCTTGGCTCAGTTGGAGTTATCATCTGAACTAGTGTATGTTCTCCATCTGAGCACAGCCAAATCTGGGATAACTACCAAAAGAGGGGCATTCTGTAAGGGAGGAGAGCATGGGGAGAGTTCCCCCTATTCCAAACTCTATATAGCTCTGTCACAGGATCTTGCAACTCTTTTTTAAAGGCTTGTTTCCCCTCTGTGATGCTCAGCCCAGCTCAGCCCTTATACTGAATAATGTTTGGAATAGGAATATATTACATGGGAGTAATTTACCTAGGTATAACTTCTGCTGGCTGCTTATAATTTGGAATGCTGTGTTAGGGAGCAATCCAAATGCAGGATCTGCCAGGATGAGCAGAGTTTGGAATAAATGGAACTACGCCTGAGCTGGATGGTGCCAGCAGTCACGAAATTAAAAGACGCCTGCTTCTTGGGAGAAAAGCAATGACAAACCTAGACAGCATCTTAAAAAGCAGAGACATCACCTTGCTGACAAAGGTCTGTATAGTAAAAGCTATGGTTTTCCCAGTAGTGATGTATGGAAGTGAGAGCTGGACCATAAAGAAGGCTGATCGCCGAAGAATTGATGCTTTTGAATTATGGTGCTGGAGGAGACTCTTGAGAGTCCCATGGACTGCAAGAAGATCAAACCTATCCATTCTGAAGGAAATCAGCCCTGAGTGCTCACTGGAAGGACAGATCCTGAAGCTGGGGCTCCAATACTTTGGCCACCTCATGAGAAGAGAAGACTCCCTGGAAAAGACCCTGATGTTGGGAAAGATGGAGGGCACAAGGAGAAGGGGACGACAGAGGATGAGATGGTTGGACAGTGTTCTGGAAGCTACCAGCATGAGTTTGACCAAACTGCGGGAGGCAGTGGAAGACAGGAGTGCCTAGCATGCTCTGGTCCATGGGGTCATGAAGAGTCGGACATGACTAAACGACTATACAACAACAAAAACACGCCTGAGCTGAGGCCAGGCTAATTCCCCCTGGGGAATGACCTTCACTGACAGGGATTCTGCAGGGAGAAATTATGAAGAAGGGTGTGCTACCCCCGCCCCCTGGGCCCCATGCCTCTCCCCTGGGGTCTTTCCAAAATGAAAGCACTCTCTCCACACACACCTAATGTAATGAGGGACACAAATAAAAGTCAAGAGCCATACAACATTTCGTAAAAGTAACTCCTACAGTGCAACCCTATACACATCTTACACAGAAGTAAGTCCTCTTGAGTTGTGTGGGGATGGAATTGAACCCTCAGATTAGCTTCACATTTTGCCTTTGATACAGACTCTAGAGTGCAAAGCATGTACACATTATGTCAGTTGAGGATTCTGTAGGCGGTGTGTATTGTTTGCTAACTTTCACTTTAGATGCATAGAACTGGCAACCAGAAAATAACTGGGCTGCCCATAAAGGCGTCAGTGCCATTTTTATTGCGGCATTATGTTTTAATTATTCAAGTGTAAGCAAGTAGGCACCAGATCTATTAAGTAAAGAATGAATCTACTATAGTTAGATATAGCATACTGAGCAATTGTCTCTTTAAATAATAAAAAAATATATAGCGGGGAAAAGGTTCCACAAAAAGTGTCGTATTTGTATAGACTCCAAATCCCCTCTGTTTAAACAGAGTGATTAATATCAGCTCCTGTAGGAAATTAAATTCAGGGAAGAACAGTAATATGCAGATATGCAGATTTCTAGACGGAATGGCTAGCCCTGGGTAACGGAGTCAGGTTGATTAATCTGCATCCACAGAATACAAAATGAAATGCAGAGCTCTCCTGGGTTGCACAAGAAATGAGTTTTCCTCCTTACATTAGAAATAAATGGACACACACATATCCACACAAATTGCAAAGGACCTTTAGAGCATGTGGCATGTTTACATATATGATGTTTAATATTTTAAATGAATATGTCTTGGCTTAGAGTGAATAATGAATTAATATTTCATTATATATGTATGTATATAAGTATGTTTACACACACACACACACACACACACACACACAAGCCAAGCACACTTTAATCTTTGCTGATCTGAGAAGTATAAGACAATATTGCGCATCCACATTAAAGTGCATCTTTGATTCATTCATATCTGCCTACTTTGCAGGAATACAGTTTGGAGATAAATATCATCACAAACAGTGTCTCATGGAGGAAAGAAAGTGAGACCATACAGCCTTACTTAATGCTCAGGTTTAAAAAAAAGAAAAAAGAAAAAAGATTTAGTTCAGTGTATTACTTCTACAGTTAAAATCATATCAAAAACCTAACCACGAAGGAACAAGGATACAATTGTACAGGGTGAGTTTGGACAGGGATAAATAACATTATGAATAATTACCACCACCACCTTAGCCTTTTAAAATGTTAATCTGTTTACATTATCTGTCCCAGATTAAATGTAAGAGTTTTGATCATGTAATAATGCCTTTTTAACAGAAAAATATTTACAGGAAAATTCAAAATGTCATTTTCAGGCTCCCCCACCCCCCCTGTCGTTACTGGAAACCCAAGCCTGTTATTTAAAATCGTTCACGGTCTCTCCAATAATTGTATAGAAGTAGGCATTATGCTATATTATTAAAGCTGTAATTTCCTGCTGAATCTGGCTGGATGTTTCTTTTTATCACTTGGCAATTTCTATCTAGTTATGGCATAATTAAGTTTCCTGACCCTTGCTCACTCTCTTAACAGGACGCTTAGAAATATACCAGAATTGCAGATCTTCAACCTGATGTCCCCACATAGTAATGGAATAAAATTATTAATCCAGTAATTGTACAGAACACATTACTTTGCATTGAATGTTCCTATTTTTCATTTTCTGTTGGTGACAATCAGCCAGAGGTACAAATCATTTCTGCAGGGAGCAGAACCTGCCTGGGGAGGTGGATGGGGGGGAGAGATTCTCTCATTCACTCTTCTGTAGCTACCTGTACAGCTGTGGTTTTTCAGAGTCTAACACAGTACTCGGCTCAGGTGAACAAAACAAAGTTAATAAATGGAAGGAGGAACAAGATACGTCTCTCTGCGGCGGCTTCCTAGGCATCAATAGCAGAGTCTTGCCCCCCAAATGATAAATTCCCCCACATCCAACTGCATGTCTGCAAATGAGTCTCAGTTAGCTGTTTTTCAATTCGCCCAAATTATTAGTATTATGCTTCTGCACAGCACAATCGTGGAAATGGACGGCGTTAACAACCAAATGAGGCAGACGTGCATTTCTTTGGGGTCACTTCTTTGCCATGTGAACCTTGCAAGCCGAAGACTGCGCGCTGCTGGATTAACTATGTAAATATCTGCATGGGCATTTGGCGCAAGGAATGTGTTCAGCAGAAGGGGACAATGGGGAGGCGAGGGAAGGAACACTTCTATGTTATATTTTTACAGTAGGATTTTTTTTAAAAAAATTGTAAGCAAATAGAGATGCTTTTAGTTATTTTGTGGGGAGTGGCTTGGATTCTACCTTCCGTAAACAGACAATAGCAGTTGGCATGGTCACCTGACCTCCAGTTGGTTGCTTCT